TGTGGAGGTCCGCGGTCGAACTCATGCTTGTAACAGGTGACTAACGGGATCGGTTGATTTGGTTGGCGGGCTGGGTTGATGCATATCGTGACTGCATCCCAACTGCGTTGTTGGATGCTCATGAAACAAACAAACAATTACAGTGGAGGATGAGTGAGTGAGGGAGGGAGTACACGCCGCTTTTAGCACTAATCCAGCAATATCACGGCAAGGGACACCAGAAATGGCCTTCTCACTTTGTACCCATGTTGGGAATCGAACCCGGGTCTTCGGCGTGACGAGTGAACGCTTTAACCACTAGGTTACCCCACCGCCATAGTGGAGGATAAGTACAGTGATTTGCGATTAGAACTTACACCGTGGAACATACATCACGCAGGCATTACAAGCAACGCATGTTGACGGACACTAGTACACTAGGCGGAGAGGCTAGATACATAGATAAATAGATAGATAGATACGTCTCGAGACATTCGTAAGTAGGAGAGATGAGTAGATAGTAAATAGACATATGGATGATAGATGGATACATAGATGGGTGGATACGTACATAGATGGTCCGATGGGGGATAGTTATATGGATATACAGACGGGCGACTCATAGATGTCTGTGATAAGACAAAATATGATAGATGAGACGATAAATAGGGGATGAGAGAGGATATAGTATTGGTTCAGAGATGGGAAGATAGAGAGAGGAGAGAAGGAGTGAGTGAGTTTAGTTTTACGCCGCTTATAGCAATATTGCAGCAATATCACCACGGGGGTACACCAGAAATGGGCTTCATACATTGTGCCCATCTGGGGACTCGAACCCGGGTCTTCGGCGTGACAAGCGGACGCTTTAACCACTAGGCTACCCCACCTCCCCCCGGAAGGAAGGAGGGATTGTAAATGGAGTGTTGGGAGGATGGAGGGCGGGAGGGGTGAGGGAGAGATGGAGGAGGGAGAGATGGGTGGATTGACGCACGCAAGGATGGATGGAAAGACGGATGGATTGATTCATGGACCGATGGGAGGATGGATAGACGGATAGACAGACGGATGAACGGATGGACCGCTGGGTGGATTCATGGATGTTTGGAGGATGCATGGGGGAAGCATGGATGAACAGACAAACGGACGAACGGACGGATGGATGGAACATTTCAACAACCCCACACCCTTGTTGATGTACATCACGCTCAGTACAAGCACATCAAAGTTCCATACAATGGCTTCTGTCTCCTAATCAGTCGCCGGCAGCTTGTTAGAAGACGATGCAGCCATGTCGTTAATGGAAGTCCATCTGACGTCATACAACGTCCACCATCCGAGCTTGAAAGGAACTAATGAAGCTATTTTCAATACTGAGGATAACATGTTAGACTTTAAAGACCACGTAATAGGTGGAGGTAACATAGTGTTCTATAATTTCTGCAGTCGCTCAGGAGCATCCGAGTGTCGGGCCATAATTTGCTCTGTTCATTTCCTCGTTTCAATAGAAGATTACGAAATTTAATGATATTCCTTTCTTGGATACCTTTCTTAGATTCCAGAAATATCTAAACTTGACGACAATAGATCATTGATTAGAAAATAGCATACATAGAAATACACTATATTATTTACCACGCAAGGCAATCGATCAGAAACGGAGTTTTGGTTCTCTTGCGTAATACATAAGCAATTTACGTTAGTCGGTGAAAACGGTATAATCTTTGACGTATTTACTTGACTAATGTATTTTATGTGACTATTATGGTGTTATTACTTGAAGTTTTTTACATTGTGCGACATTATTACTTGAAGTATTACAGTGTGTGACATTATAACTTGAAGTATTACATTGTGTGACATTAGTACTTGAAGTTATAATTGTGTGACATTAGTACTTGAAGTATTATATTGTGCAACATTATTACTTGAAGTATTACATTGTGTGACAATATTACTTGAAGTATGTGTATTGTGCGACATTATTACTTAAAAGAATGTGTATTGTGTGACATTATTACTTGAATTATTATATTGTGTGACATTATTACTTGATGTTTTATATTGTGTGATATTAGTATTTTAAGTATGTATATTGCGTGATATTATTACTTGAGGTATGTATATTGTATGGCATTATTACTTGAAATATTATATTGTGTGACATTATTACTTGACGTATGTATATTGTGTTACATTATTACTTGAAGTATGTATATTGTGTGACATTACTATTTGAAGTATGTATATTGTGTGATATTATTATTTGAAGTATGTATATTGTGTGACATTAGTATTTGAAGTATGTATATTGTGTGGCATTACTATTTGAAGTATATATATTGTGTGACATTATTACTTGAAGTATGTATATTGTGTGCATTACTATTTGATGTGTGTACATTCTGTGAGATTATTACTTGAAGTAATTATATTGTGTGACATTATTACTTGAAGTATTTATATTTTGTGACATTATTACTTGAAGTATGTATATTGTGTGATATTATTACTTGAAGTATGTATATTGTGTGACATTATTACTTGAAGTATTACATTGTGTGACATTATTAATGAAGAATGTATATTGTGTGGCAATATTACTTGAAGTATGTATATTGTGTGATATTATTGCTTGAAGTTTGTATTTTGTGTGACATTAGTACTCGAAGTATGTATATTGTGTGATATTATTACTTGAAGTATGTATATTGTGTGATATTATTACTTGAAGTATGTATATTGTGTGATATTAGTATTTGAAGTATGTATATTGTGTGATATTATTACTTGAAGTATGTATATTATGTGATATTAGTACTTGAAGTATGTATATTGTATGACATTATTGCTTGAAGAATGTATATAGTTTGATATTAGTACTTGAAGTATGTATATTGTGTGAGATTATTGCTTGAAGTTTGTATTTTGTGTGACATTAGTACTCGAAGTATGTATATTGTGTGATATTATTACTTGAAGTATGTATATTGTGTGATATTATTGCTTGAAGTATGTATATTGTGTGACATTATTGCTTGAAGTATGTATATTGTGTGATATTAGTACTTGAAGTATGTATATTGTGTGATATTATTGCTTGAAGTATGTATATTGTGTGACATTATTGCTTGAAGTATGTATATTGTGTGATATTAGTACTTGAAGTATGTATATTCTGTGATATTATTGCTTGAAGTATGTATATTGTGTGACATTACTATTTCAAGTATGTATATTGTGTGACATTATAAGTTGTTCACTGGTCTCGAGGGAGACATAGGCTGATGTACCCTCGATGTTTGTTTATGTTTCCTGAGCCTGGTTCAAGATCTCGGTTTCAGAATGTCTCGCCAATTGAAGAATACCCTCCCTAAAGTATAAGACTTCATTACATATGGCATGCGTTCGACATATAAAACCTCAGGTTGATAGACACATTTGAAATGAAAACACCATAACATTTTCATTAACACACAGGACAAAGGATTGTCAATACTTTCAGAAGAAAGATAAATTAATGTACAAACTAGTTACACAATAATGACAAACAAACTTCCATTACAGGAATATTACTTTCAATAAAACTAATTGCAAAACATTTTGCTGACTCAACACAATCGTCACGCAGCCTTCTTTCAACAAACAAACATTATGAAACTGCAATTCTCCTCGAAAACTATCTTTGTTGCTGATCAATGTCTTCCACGGGGGTAGGATCAACAAAAACCTTTTTAGAATTCAATTCCCTCCGACAGTGTAAACAATCAACAGTATCGATCTTCACGCTCTCTGACAATAGCAAATTGATCCTCTTGCATAGAAATTGCGATTTTAATGAGCACTGAAAGGGAATTAAAACACGTTTAGTGGATTCACTGAGTATTCAGTATAAATAATTTAGGATTCAACACCCAGTTGGCGTGAAAAACTTTACGCGGAATTACCTGTAATGTGATGTTGTGAGAAAGGCTTGTTAACTATTAAAAAGTACTGTTTTTCAAACTATCAAACAGCTGCGTTTTGTGAACTGGATCAGTTGTGTGCGACACAATTCAACGCCTTTCTTCCTAATTAAAACTATTTACAACATTTATATCTTGTCACAAATTGAACAATGGCGAAGTTGAACTTCCCGTCCGAAACTGGTTCCATCAATATGTATAGAAGGGTTGTTATGCACCATTGCGCATGTCCAAGTGAGAATTATATAAACAAACGGCCATGACCTTATAAATCATTCATAATTGGGATAGGTATTAACGAGCGTATTCGCAGCAATTTATAGCTAAGCAAATTACGACTGTTAACATGTAACGTGTGAAAAAGATGGCAGAAAAATAATCATTCAAGTTCGCTTTCGCTTTTTGTTCGCGTCGTATTTCGTGGGTCACATGGACCGCAGATCCAGTCGTCTCAGATATCGCAAACCGCAGTGCTACCACGGTCCGCTACTCAGTTCGACTCCCAGATGTCGAGGGGGTAGCCTAACGGTTAAGCGTCCGCATGTCACGCTGAAGACTCTGGTTCGATTCCCCACATGGTTACATTGTGTGAAGCCCATTTCTGGTGTCTGATGTTTCTGGAATATTGCTGGGGCGGTGGGGTAGCCTAGTGGTTAAAGCGTTGGCTCGTCACACCGAAGACCCGGGTTCGAATCCCCACATGGGTACAATGTGTGAAGCCCATTTCTGGTGTCCCCCGCCGTGATGTTGCTGGAATATTGCTTAAAGCGGCGTAAAACCAAAACTCAGTCAGTCAGTCAGTCTAGAATATTGCTAAACGCGGCGTAAACCCATACTCACTCACTCGAATCCCAGATGATCCGTAGTTTGTCGTGATCTGGGACCTCCATCATTTCCACAAAAATATTACGAGTCTTGTTTTTACCTGGAATACTGTTCCAAACAGCGTTAATCCTCTAAGCCTCACTTACACACTCACTCATCAACACTACTGTTACCCGACCACAACTGCCACTATTATTAAAAAGATAGAGCTCTCTTTGCACGTTATTCCTGCAGCGGTGGGGATAGCCTAGAGGATAAAGCGTTCGTTCATCACGGCGAAGACCCGAGTTCGATTCCCCACATGGGTACAATGTGTGAAGCCCATTTCTGGTGCCCCCCGCCGTGATATTGCTGGATTATTGCTAAAAGCGACGTAAAACCATACTCACTCACCCACTCACTCACTAAACGCGGTACCGCCTCCGTGGTGTAGCGGTTAGAGCGTCCGCCCGGAGTGCGGATGGTCGCGGGTTCGATCCCCGACCGCGTCATACCAAAAGACGTTAAAATATGGTACTTGTTGGTCCCTTCCTGGCGCTCGGCATTAATGGGTACAACAAGGACTGGTCGGTTGGAGTCCGTATAATGTGTCTGAGTGGTGTATTCATGCTTCACTGCGGCATGGTATCTCAGTGTGCTAGCACTATAAAACCAGCTTCAGTCTGGGCTAGTACAAGCAACCGCACATACACATACACACGCATGCACGTCGTCATATGAGCGAAATATTCTCAAGCACGACGTTAAACCCAATTCCACCACCACCACCACTAAACGCTGTACAAAGATACAGGTCCCGTTTTCCCGGAGAACTGTCTATCTAGTATGTAAGACACAGCTGGTTGAGTCTCTCAGTGGCTTTACTGCCGGCTGCTTACTCGTGCATTTGCCAAAGAGAATATACACCAAGTTTCGGTTTGATAAAATCATTATGCACGTTATCATGATGAAAACATCATACACGTAATCATGATGAAACTATTATACACGTAATCATGATGAAACGTAATCATGATCAAACTATTATACACGTAATCATGATCAAAATATCATACACGTAATCATGATCAAAAATATTATACACGCGATGAAACTATTATACACGTAATCATGATTATCATACACGTAATCATGATGAAACTATTATACACGTAATCATGATCAAATATTATACACGTAATCATGATGAAACTATTATACACGTAATCATGATGAAACTATTATACACGTAATCATGATCAAAATATTATACACGTAATCATGATGAAACTATTATACACGTAATCACGTAATCATGATGAAAATATTATACACGTAATCATGATCAAAATATTATACACGTAATCATGATGAAACTATTATACACGTAATCATGATGAAACTATTATACACGTAATCATGATCAAAATATTATACACGTAATCATGATCAAAACATCACGCTACCATGATCAAAACAGTACACGTTTTCATGATCAAAACATACACGTTTTCATGACCAATGCATTATACACGCTGTCATGATCAACCATTATACGCGTTATCATGATCCACCATTAGACACGCTATCATGATCAACCATTATACGCGTTTTCATGATCAAAGCATATGGACGTTATCATCATCCAGACAATATGCAGGTTATCAAACCACTATGCCGAAAACAGTCGCGGAACGCTGACAACGTGTCCCAACAAAAACTATAACACCTTATAAAATACATCGCCATCGAATAAGCATGACTTGTTTGCCTAGTTCTAGCTACCGTTACACATGGGTGTGTCCTTTTTCTTGCCCAACGTACATTCAATGGCCGCCTCCAGCCTATAGCAACATGTGGTTTATGATGGACCATGACAATCAGAAATAATAAAAAAATATTGTAATGGCTGTACTTCAAACCCAATGATACATAACTAGAATATGTTTGCGGCATGAATGCATGTAAAATAGGCTTATCGAGACCATTTCTGTAACATGTGTGCTTGCACGCCTCTGTGAACAGGCCGCTTTACCACCGCGACCCTCGCCACTTGTTGAAACATACATGGCAGCCTGCAATATACACGCTTGTACATTTCATCTACTTCGCCGTCGGTTTCCTCAAAAGTTTGTAAAGTTAAACTTAATACACTTTGCCCTTCCTTTAAACAAAGAAACAGCAATATAGTCTCTCAGAAGTGACTGTGTACCCCGGATGATGTTCTTAATATGTTTACGCTGCGTTGTGTATTTCGCTTTGATCTCGGTTATATATAGGTCAGCTCTGGGTCACGGTGACCTCTTGTATAATTCAGTCAAGGACAACATAGTTGTTTGTGTACATATATTATGAGGTAATTGCTAGTGATTGCACATATGCAAAAACGTGTTTATGCTGTTTGTATTGTTTTTATGCAATATGTTTTAAGCATATGTTGTGTCATCAATTTTCTCGAGTTGCGATTTCAACTGATAACAGTCATCTCGATACCGCCTCTCTGTAGGATGGAGTGGGGGTGGGGGTGTGTGCCAGTTTTACCTATCTTCATCCTGGGGATGCTACTTGAAAGAAGCTTTGTTGACATTATGTGAAATTTAGAAACAAAGACATAGTACATATAGCGCAGTGTTGATGATGTGACGTGTGTGTGCCATCTGTCTTCTCCCTATCTTATCTCTCTTCAACCCCCCCCCCCCAAACACCAACCCGATACCACGTTTCAGCGCATCCTTAAGCATGCTCATACACACTCACGCACGCACGCACGCACGCACGCACGCACGCACACACTGCTCGCATACATACTAGTCTGCACATACCCCATCCCTACACATCCTATAGTACTATACTAAGCACATGCACGCGCACTCAAACATGCGTTCACGCATACACGCGCAAACGTACGTACACAGCAACCGCATACATTCGAACCTGATAGAAGACCATGCACATCCTAGACAACCTATACTGAACAAGCACGCACATGTACCCACACGCGCTCATGCACGCCCATAAGAACATACACACCAACCGCATACATTCGAATATTATGTATGCACAAAACCCACATCCCTACACAACCTACACTAAGCATGCATGCACGAGTTCACACACACACACACATACACACACGTACGCAAAACTCGCACAACGCACACCTCCACCACCACCATCAGCTTACTCCTGCCAGATACACACACTCACATCTGCTTCCCCGACCACCACCCCTTCATCTGTCACCTTTCACATACCCCCCACCACACACACACACACCACACCCCCAACCCGACTACACGTACCCCGACTAAACCGTTTCCCAGTTACCATCTCCGCACCCTCGCACTCCTTCCAATGTACACACCCAGTCAGTTCATTTTAGTGTCTTGCATACACGAGCACATCTCGCTTGTAACAGTGAGCGAGTTTAGGTAACCTCTATTCCAAAGTTTAAAACCAACATCACGGCGCGTCAACTCGATGTGGATATTTACTTGCCTCCAACAATGAAAACCATTTAATCTTTTCATGTGATATTTATTATTGTTCCTCAAACCACACCTAGTGTACATAATGGCGTGGATATTATCATTCCAAACAAATAATCTCAACAGTAAACAGTGTGGCGTATCATAACGGTATCGGATGAGTGTAAACAGTTTATCCCAAAGCTAACCCGCGGTGTATTATCCAATGCAACACCACGTCGGTGGTGTGTCTTACGCTGACAGTTGATATGGGCTGATCATATTGACGTTATTCGTATCAATTCCTAATTTTACAAGGAATGCATGTGTCAAATTTCGAAAACAAATCTGTGTCACACTGACAAATATGACTATTCTTCAACACATTCAACAACATGTTTCATGGTCGATGATGCAACGCTCACGCTACCGACAAACACATGATGCAATGCGTGGAAAACACGCTCACGGGGAACGTGTCAAAACGTTTATGGCCAATTTACTAAAACTCCGCATCGACCCAGGAAGCCTGAGTACAAGCCTTCCAACATACAAACATTCCCCGAATACATTTCCGTGCCAATAGGTTTTAGTTTCAGTAGTTGCACAACTTTAACTCTGCATAAATAACGCTTAATGTTTTAGATATCCCCCACAATCCCCGAAAATGGTTTCAATAAGGCCTGAAAACTCCCAGAGAACGGAGAATATAATATTTTTTCAGTTGAACCATTTTTCCACAATGTTATATTATGCAAGGCTTGAAAACTGGGTCACGGCTTCAATGGACGTGTTGTATACAGTCACGTGGTTTCAAGTTAATGGCTGTGAAAATGTCCTTGTACTGTTATGTGCACACATTTCGAGGGAGAGATGTCACATGACCCATTTATAGTTATTGCAGGGTCGTAAGTTATAGTGTTTGAATTGCATTGCATGTATTCGGTCTTTCAAAGAAAGGCTTATCATGTTTATGCCGCAATATTCCAGCTTTATGGCGGCGGTGTAAATAATGGAATACCAAGCTGTACTGAATGTTAACCCCATGGATGTATAATACAGGCAGATCTAGATTACAGGATGAGCATTTAAAGTGTTTGATTCATTAAACGATGCCAATAATAATGGTTGTCACCACCCTCCCCACCCCCAACCCCCACACACCTCGCACGCAATTAAAAATTGAAGGGGTCAATGAGAAACGTGTTTAGAGACTTATCAGTCTGTTTAATGAACCGCACCCGATCCCGTTAGTCGCCTTACGACAAGCTTTGAAGATGGATCTTCGGCGGTCTCTGTTAAAAGCCCAATTAATGGAGGGGGGGCATGTTTAGACTGTGATTATGAGCAGTCTTGTGTGTTACTTTCCTTCTGATTTCCAGCTGATTGGCATTTATAATCTGTTTGAACATGTGTAGTTTTATTTCCATAACAACTCTTCTATCTTCGTTATTTTCTTTACTGTATATTTCTGTGGTGTAGTGGTTAGAACGTCCGCCCGGAGAGCGGAAGGTCGCGGGTTCAATCCCCGACCGCGCCATACCAAAAGACGTTAAAATATGGTACTTGTTGGTCCCTGTCTGGCGCTCGGCATTAATGGGTGCAACAAGGACTGGTCGGCTCGGAGTCAGTATAATGTGTCTGAGTGGTGTTTTCATGCTTCACTGCGGCATGGTATGTCAGTTGGCTAGCACTATAAAACCAGCTTCAGTCTGTGCTAGTACAAGAAGCCGCACATACACATACACAAGCATGCACGTCGTCATATGAGCGAAATATTCTCAAGCACGACGTTAAACCCAATTTCACCTCACCACGTCACCTGTATTGATATAGAATAATGAAAAAGAACACTTTTTTCACTGAAACGTTTCATATGTCGTTTCCCAGTACAGTCATCTGATCAAAATCTATTTGCGTGA